AAACAAGTTTTAAGGTTGAGAAATGTATTACTGAGTGTTTTATTTGGTCCTTTGCCCTTGTCTGATGTTGAATAATATTCCATAGTGCAAGGGGATTTCTTATCCCAGAGAGGATTTTATTTGGAGATCAGCTTTCCATTTTTCCATACAGGAATTTTTCATGTTATCAAATTCATTTGTAGCTGCCAGAGAACAGACTCAGCACATTAATGTGGTAGTTGGTTGATCCTGTTGAACCTATTTCAAATCCCCAAAAAGCCAGACTGAGGATTTGTGTTTTATAGAGGGTTATACATATGCAACTAGATTTTTTCTGTTAAGTAGGACAAAAAAAAGTAGAGAAGAGTGCAGACGTTTCTCCTACTTAAGAACATAAAAATAAACAATGGGAATGAGGCTATTCCTTCTATGAAGGTTAATTATTTTTGTGGTATAGGTAGCATGTGCCAGTTATAATTTCTTTTCTGTGTACTGCATCTTTAAATGGAGTGACGTCCACCTCCCCCCAACTACAGAGGCAGCAGCCATTTTGTGTTTAGGAGCCAACTGCTAATTGGCACATGAGTTCCATCAATGGCTGCTGCACAGATGAGGAACTCCCAGCTGTTTAAGTCCCTCAATGATCTCTGGCACACTGGCCACCTTGATCGCACATTCCTGCAGCACATTATCTATTGACCTGCAAACCTCCACCATAGCAACATCCCCAATAGACTTCCAAGCCTCAAATTGGCCCATCTGACTGGTAACTAAGGTAGCAAGCCACCTTCCACAGGGAGACCGGCATTCTCTTTTCCATGGTGAGAGGAGCCCTCATCCTCATGGCATGGCACTCACTGCACTGCCAAAGCAAAGAAGCACAGAAGAGCCTCTTTTTTCATCTCAAAGTTATGTGGCCAATGCTGCTTGAGAATAGTTTTGTCCCACCTGTCTGTGATCATAGTCCAGGCACAAAAGTGACATGTCACCCTATGAAGTTGATCTGCCAGCACAGTGGAGAGCCATCTCCTAGGATTGTGATGAAAGCACAACCATTGCATCATGATTGCATCAGCAAACTTGTCTCTGGCTCTCAGCAAGTACCAGAACACCCTCCACTGCCTCGGTGGTCTGCTCACTGCTTTATAGAAGCTCCATCAGAAACCTTTCTTGCTGTGCAATGGGCAAGAGCTAACTGGTCATCCTGGCCACCATCCTGAGAAAAGGACTAGGCAACAGCACTGGCACCAGGAGACTTGCAGGAATATGACCTCATTTCCTACAATTCCCCAGGTCTCCCTGAAGCTTTCCAAGCTCTCCCAAAAGCCACAGCTTCAGGAAGCTATTTTGGGAAATTAGGGAGAGGGACCCAAATGCCAGTGCAACTGCAAAAGTATAATGCAGCACCAGGGTGGTCATGGGGAAGAACTGTACTTGATCTGAACTTCAAACACCATGGCTTGAATGGAGACATGGCACTGTAGTTACATCAGTGTTTTCCCACTAGTTCCAAAAACAAGGCCTTACGCAGGAGTACTTTGTGCACTCTTCTTGATCTTACCTTTGTGGTTTTATTGTCATTCTTGTAATATTAAATATAAAATAAAGGCCATTCATACTGAATGTACTGAAAAGAATAAAAAAATTGGCAACAAAGAGCTTGAAGAAAACAAATAAGCCGAGAATAGATCTCCTGGTTAAAAAGAAGAAAAAACATAAGGAAAATAAAATGGCCACCTACAGAAATATGGGAGTTTTCTAGATTTAAAGAAGAACAATTTGAATCAGGTCTTCAGATAACAGTGCAGTATTTTCTACTTATGCTATAGAAGACAGTTTGGAAGGAAAATAATACCAGGTTTTCCAACATTGGTGGGACATTGGCAATGCACTAAAAACAAGTCATTACAGATTCAAGAATCAGATATAAAAGCTTTCATTAATGTTTTTCCCTTATGATTTTTTCTTTAACAACTGAAAACTCTTCTTGTTACATGTTACAGCCTTTCAAAAAGGGATCTCACATTTATCACACCATACTGAAAGGCTAGACACACATCCTTAGATCTGTTTATTTCACCATATAAGACAAGACTCTTTGTTGCAATTTCTAATAAATCAGACAATTTATTTGATTGATACTGTGTATATTTGTAACAAATTCTAAATATAATCTAATTATGCAGTTTGGTTTCCCCTGTTTTCCAGTTATTTAACCCTTTCTAGTTTTAGTCCAGGAATCAAGTTAATTTTCCTTGGACCGTACTCAGTGCTATGAGGTTTTCCCTGTAAGGTGTCAAGCCAAACTGAAATGAATTGCTTATTATAGGTGATCTCAAACTACAGACACAGTCAATAAATATTTTTAAAACCTACATTCTCCTGTTACTGTAATATAGTTTTATATTAAGCTATTTCAGTGATTTTCCAATTCCTTCTCCATGGCATGTAGATATTCCATTGAATCATCCAGAATTCATTAAAAAAAAATGAAAACAGACCTATATGACACTAGTACTGAATTAAAGCCATATGGACAAATTCTCCCCTCTGGTAGGGTTCGACAGGTGTAATTGAGGGCAGGATTTAGCCCAGAAAGTTTTTAACATAAACTTAGAATATCTGGAGTGAAACCCTAGCCTCACTGAGGTCAATGGCAAAACTTCCATGGATTTCATCGGGGCCAGGATTTCACACTGGCTCTTCTTCAAAAATATCCAGCTGTAATGCATTCCTGATCACCAAGCACTCAAACCCACAATGTGCTGAGCACATCTAAATGCGTTGCTGGACTGGAGACAGAGTACTTCCTCACCTTGCAAGATCAAGCCCTATTTAAGCATTAGCAACAAGTGTGCATACAGTATCCAGCATTTCTCACTAATCACATTTCACTTAACTTAGACTGACACATCAATTTCCAAACTCCACACGTAATTTATAGTCTGTTTCTGCAATAAAAACATCAGATTCACAGTTTCTGTTTGAGGCATTTACATGAACAAAACACAAAGGCCCTGATCCTCAGGACCTGCAGTTTGATGTTTAGCACAATGCTAGGGGGCACAAAGCAGTCTTAACAAGGCTCAAGATCTGACCCAGATCTGCAGTGCTGGCCACAATCACAGAGAGGACACTAGGTTAGTTGGACGAGAAGTGTGATTCAGTATGGCTGTTCCTATGTCTATTTTCTGCACTCTTACATTTAATTCATGTTAATTCTTTCTAGAAAGAGAATTCATTATCATACATCTTAATTATCAAGACACATGTATGCACTAGCATCCCAAGTGAGCACACAATTGTATTGTCCTTGTATCCTTGTCCTGCCCTTCCCAGTCATCTCTCTTTGTTGCCATCCCCTGCTGTTGTCCTCAATCTAAAGTAAACTTCTGGGCAGCGAAGCAGCCATTATAAAATTATTATCACTCATTAATATAGCTCAAAAGCCTGCAAGGCACCTCACAGGAAGACAGAGTCCCTGCCCCTAAAGACCATACAATCTTATCTGTTTCTCAATATTAATAGTGAAAAATATTACTGCATGTGAAATAAACGTCTGGTTCAATATCAGTTGTGAGAGGATGGAAAGCTATATCCACTGTTTAAGCAAAAGCTCTAAGAACAAGCATTAGGGCACTATGATTTTTTAAAGTCATTTAAAGGACAAAGTGAACATCCCTATGTAGGAAAATTTATGGGACAGACCCTCAGAAGGCATAAGTTGTCACAGCCCAATGACTTCAACTATGCTACAGCAATTTACACAAGTTGAGGATCTGGCACTATTTGCCTTTGTTCCCTTATAATATAAACAGAATTAGCTGTAATCAAAGTAATCTCTTTTTATTTCAGTTAAAAAGAGTGATCAATGAGATCAGCACTTCAGGCCTTTCATCTTTTTCAAGATGCTTTTCCGGAGGTTTTATTCTTATTCAGCACATAACTACATTGTTTTATAATGAAATCTAAAATTCTGGTTCACTGTGAAAACTTCACTGATCAAAGATTGTTTACAGTAGAGTACAACATTGGTACCACAGAAGCACATGGTTAACATTATTGTGCTCTGAAATCTATTGATAATTCTGATGGCCATAACAACAAGCTTATAGAATTAACACTGTAACACAAGAACTATCAACAGAACTGAATTAACTACTCTGTGAAAATGTAAGAGTCCAAAATAAAAAATAAATATGGAATATGAATATAATGTGCATATTATTAAAACTGTTTAACTTGACTATACATGCAGTTTAAATGATCTTTTCTTTCATAATTGCCGATAGCAGAAGTTTAAAATTACCCGTGAAAGTTAAACATACAGTAGTCTTTATTTATTATTAATAGTAGTACTAAAATAACAAAATGTTTCACTTATACAGCATTTTATAGCCAAGGTTTTCAAGGCATTTACAAACATTAATCAATGAAGCCTCACAAGGAGATAATAATAAGGCATCAAAATGTTAATGCCAACATTTTCAAAAGTAATTTTTAATTTTGCATCTCTCATTTTTGGGGTGCCTAGCTTTAGACATCCAAGGTCTGATTTTTATAGGTGCTAAAAATATAAGTGCCCCAGTTTAAGCCATTGGCACTGCAGGTACTCAGCATCTCTAAAACACAAACTCTGAGCGTCCAAGGTTGGACAATCAAAATTACAGGACACTTCTGAAAATGTGTGTCAGTGGCAGAGCGAGAAAGAGACTTCAGAATTCTCCACTCCCAGTTGGGTGCTCTAAACACTAGACTATTCTGCCTCCACTCCAAAAAGCTAAAATAAAAAGTAAATCTACTACACTATTAGCACGCAGAGGAGCAACATACCCATTATTATTTCAACTATTTTAATTCACCTGAAATGTAGTTTTGTGTGACTCACTATAATGAAAAATGCTTTTAATAATGCACCATTTTATAATCAGAGAATAGCGTCCCTCTATAGTGACTGCAACCTTTCAGCAGATGGCATTTAGCTACAACCCAGCAGGATGTTCAATAACATATAAAATTACCTTGTGTGCTTCCGTGCCTTTTTTCTTATGAAATGTTGGTGCTCTCCAGAAGGCAACAGTCAGAGTTCTATAAAAGATGTAATACCCCACATTAAAATAGGACAAATTATATTGCTTGCCAAGCAGCCTAAGACTAAGAAAATATCATATTTGCACAAAGAAAATTTCCAAACAAAACCAAAAGTGAGTGTCGTTAAACTGTCATCATTGTTTAGAAAGAGTGAAAAGTTTGGAAAGCAGATTCATACCCCTAGACTCACTAGGAACCTGATCCTAAAACCACTGAAGTCAATAGTCCTATTTACTTCAACGGGCTTTGAATCAGGCCTTATAAGAATTAGGATGACTAGAGAGTCCTGGAAACAGACTTTGAATCAAATGCCAGGTAAATGTTACCATGTTTCATTGTTATGGGGATGTCCTATCAGCACTATGGGTCTCCTGAGAAGAGCATACAGAGGCCTGACCAATGTCCAGAGCAATACTGTCCTTTGCTTTCAGAGGGTGAATCTATTAAGTGCATCACCAGGAATTCATTGTCTGTGGATGGAACCCATCTAACTACAACATATCCACTGAGACATGCCACTTTGTTTTGTTTATAACAACAAAATTCAGTCAACCTAAGCAAGTGCAACAACTGTAATTCATGTGTGATATGCTAATTTTTGCAGTTATATGGGCACTTTTTCATGCATACATCTCAAAGCACTTTGCAGAGGAGAGTAGGTATTATTATTCCATCTTGTGGATGAGGAAACTGAGGCACAGAGCCATGAAACACCTTGCCCAAAGACACAGCAAGTAAGTAGCACAGCTAAGAGTAAAACCCAGCTCTAATGAACTACCAGTCCTGTGTTGTATCCATTGCTCCACTCTGCTGTGATATCTACCTGTACCAAGAAAACACATTTTACAGTGTACCAGGGATATGAATTTTGTGTTATCTTCTCAATCTTCTGCTATTCTATTTTTTATAGTTTTGCCTCATCCTTATGTCATTTTTCCTTTTCATGAATTAAAAAGTTTGCATGCTTTTACTGAATTGTTAAAAACATCAAACCACATAGCACCTCGGGCCAGATTTTAAAGATGCAGATAGGTGCCTAGTGGGATTTTCAAAAGCACCTAAACAAGTTAAGTGCCTGTTTTCAATGGGAGTGAGACACAGACCTGCTTAGGCACATTTGAAAATCCCACTAGGTGCCTATTTGTATCTGTCAGTGTCTAAATCTTTGAAAATCTGCGCTATCGTTGTTATAATATAAAAAGGCAATTTAATTTTGTAACAGCTTTAGGTAAAGTTAGCAGAGTCCACCATGTTTTTTTAAAAGGATTGAAGTTAGTCATGCTCATGGAAAAAATAAATCTAAATAGATGGGTATTTCAAGCCCCACAATTCAACATTACTATTAAACCTCTTGGAATAAGTAAGCATCACACATTAAGACATACCATAGTGTCTCAGGGAAGTTTGCACTTTCTTGAAGCATTGGGACCAGCACTCCTCAGTGCATCTACGATTCAGCTGGCTCTTCCTGGAGAAATCCCAGAGGGTTTGGAAGCTGGGAGGAGAAGCTGCACGACTGCACTGAGGGAGGAATCTAGCCAAGGCTGGACATCCGGAAGGGGGTAACTGCAGAATCTAGCCAAGGCTGGACATCCGGAAGGGGGTAACTGCAGTAAATAGGGAGGAGGATACACAGTTGCTATGAGGCAGGTGGGAAGTTTATATAATGTGCAACTTAAACATTTGTATATGACCTGAGACTAAACATAAGAAATTTTAGGCCCCAACTTGGCAAATCACTAACACACATGCTTATTGGGGGCCTTAATACAAAAGGAAAACGTTAGAGGAAGTTATGAACATCTTAAAGAAACAATCTGAAATGGAATGACTTGTGTAAACATAAAGTTAAGGCAAAAGATAAATAGCTTGATTCTCTGCTATCTTGCCCCTTAAATAGTCATATACACCTGTGTAAAGCTGGGGTAAAATTCTACCACTAGTGTAAGTTCCTGGAGAATTCTGATTTGGTCACATGTTCCACTTGCTTTGCACAGGTGTACAAAGGTGAAGGGCAGAGGAGAATCACGCCAAATATATAGAATATTTTCAGAGGCAATAGTTGGACAAACTCAAGAGGTACGCAATTACCTATCTTGGCTACACCAGTACCAAATTCATTTTATTCAACTTTTAGCCCACCATTCATTTCTTTTATAAATTTTGTAATTCTTTTCAAAGAACTATAAGAAAAGGATAGCATGAAATTCTAAATATGCAGAAATAAGTCATTATTTTGTTATTTTTTTTCTTATTCCATATTCCACTGATGGAAACAGCCAAATAATGTTTGTGAAGTAATAAAAGAACAGATGACAACACACTCTTCAACATTTATACTAATAATAAATAATATTTTGCATTCAAGTATATAGTGCCTTTCACCGGAAGAACTCAAAGGACAAAGTATAGTGGTAGGCAATTATAACTCCTGTTTTTAAAATGGGTAAACTGATGCACAGAGATATAAAGTGACTTGCCCAAGGTTACTAAGGGTGAAATGCACTCCACAGTGTTGAGTCACTGGATCCTGCAACCCCTTCCCTAGCTCACCCTCTTTGTGGCTTTGCATGCTGGCTTATCAAGGGCCACTAGAGACCCCTTCCATCGGGTGCTGAGCCTAGACAGGCAAACTTTGTGGGGCTGGGCCACCCTCAGTCTCCCACATAGTCTCTATGCATACTTTGGCTTAAGTGGCAAAGAGGGCCACCACAAATGGATCTCACCAACAACAGGAATAGAACCCAGATCTCCATCCCCTGCTCTAACCTCTGGAACTGTGGTCCACAAACTGTGGGGCACGCCCCCCTAGGGGGACGTGGAGGAACATCCTGGGGCCCATGGTGCAGCCCAGGCCAGCACCCATGGGGGGGGGCAGGGAGGGAGGGACACCCAGCCCTGCCCTGCTCCCAGGTCTGCTCCTGCCCCACCTGCAGCCCCATCCCAGCTGCCAGTCCCCACTCCCAGCCCCTACTCTTGGCCGCCAGACCCCAGACCCCACTCTTGGCCCCCTGCCCCCACTCCCAGCCCCGCTCTCAGCACCAGCCGCGACTCCGCTCCCAGCCTGGGGGAGCACGGACACATTCCATTACTGGTAAGGGGGGGGGGGGGGGCGCGAGAGGAAAAGTTTGAGCACCACTGCTCAGTGTTTCTCAAATGCAGCCACAGTGGCCACCAAAAGCTTTTCTTGCAGCCACAGCCTCCTGGGTAGTGATTGGGGGAGGACAAAGCAGCGGCCCCTCCTCTGGGGCTACCAGGAGGGGTTGGGCCTTACCCCACTTTGGAGCCACAAACACCTGAGGAGCAGACAGCCAGTGTGAGTTCCCCACCTTCCTGGGGCAGTGGGGCTCAGGCTGCTGGCTTCAGCCCTGGTGTGGCGGATGGCAGGCTCCAGCTGCATGGCAGTGGGCTCCTGCCACAGGCTCTGACCATGGGGCTTTGGGTTCTGGGCTTTCACTACTCAGCAGTGGGATCCATCCCGCGACCACAGGACTCCATCCCACTCATCGCCCCTGCTGCCTCCCTATCCACCTCCCCAGCCAAGTCTTTATTTGTTCCCTGGCTTGCCAGGGCTGAGTGAGTCTGCTGTGAAAAGTAATATTTGTATATTTGTTAATATCACTTTTCACTACCTCTCAGCTAACTAACAGGTCCACTGCTGTGAAAAGTGATATTAACAAACATACAAATATCACTTTTCACAGAAGCAGATTTACTAGCTAGCAAGTCTAAAAATGCAGCCAAAAAATCAAAAGAAACCATAAAAAAAGACAAAAACATGCAAAGCATCTTATTTGTCTTTCTATTCTGTTTAGCTCCAGTAAAGAATAGACATCTGTACATTATTTTTATTATTGAGTCTGAAAAAACCCTACATAAATAAATTACAGTATATACTCGATCACAAGCCAGTTTGTTTATAAGCCGACCCCCCCATCCCCCCCAAGATGGAGAAGTAAAAATGGAAAAATTTTATGACCCACTCTTAAGCCGACCCTATAATTCAGGAGTCAGCAAACTTTGTCTCCTGGGCGACCAGGATAAGCCACTGGAGGGCCGAGATGGTTTGTTTACCTCAAGCATCCGCAGGCACGGAGGTAAACCTAAGTAAACAAAGTGTCCCAGTGCACCAGCTGCTTACCCTGACGGGCCAGGACAGCAACTGGTGGGGAAATTTTTTTTTTTGGCGGGGGGGAGGGGGAGAAGCTGGGGGTCAGGGAGCAACCCCTGTGACCACCCCGCACATGACCCCACCCCTAGCCCGCGACCCCCAGACCGTCCCCATCCCATCCCTTCCCACCTTAGCTGGAACGGGCCAGGGGAGGATGAGCTGCTCCAGCGGGCCAGACCGGGCGGTGCGGCCGTGTCTTCCAGTGGGCTGGGTGGGCTGGCTCAGCCACAGCGTGCTCTGGCGGGCCGGGCAGTGCGGCCACAGCTTGCTCTGGGGGGCAGGACCGAGCGGCACGGCTGCAGCCTGCCAGCCCCGGAGCTGCAGCTACTTCAGAGGCTGGCGGGAGAGCAGCCTGGCCAGAAGCGGAGAGACTCTGGCCCCGCCTCTTCCCTTCTGGCTGTGCTGCCACTCCTTGCCCCCTCTGTTTGGGGTGAGGGCTGTGTCCCACCTCTCCCATTCTATACCCATTCATAAGCCGCCCCCTTCTCTGATGCTTCCCTTTTTTACTAAAAAAATTCAGCTTATGAATGAGTATATATGGTACTATGATTTGGACAGATTCATGTGTATATTTATTTGTTTTTTCTTAAAGTTAATTAAGTATTTTAGGAAAAATTGCCAAGCAGCCACCAGTTAGAGTTGGTGGTCTCAGAGTGTGGCTACCCAAAAAAAAAATTGTTGTGAGAACCCCTGCTCTAGAACAAAAAGCCTCACAAAAACATCCTTCTGTTTGGATTTATTTTTGACAATCTTGTTAACCATCTCAGCATAGAATGCACAGTCTTTCCAGGGCAATACTGAGGCATTTTAGGGAAGCTTGCCCCATAACTGACCATACTGTACTGTTCTGTGATTTTCCACAATCACCTTTTTTAGGCAAGAACTAGAGAAAATACATGGACTTTGCACTTATATCTGATGCTCCTGGGAGGAATTCAGTGCAAAAAAATTAAAAATTCTGTGCACAATATTTTAAAATTTTGCAAAATTCTGCATAATATAATCACGCCAGTTTCAATTATTTTGGTAATTTATTTCAAAATACCTGTCGGCAAGTATGTCTAACAATAGACAACATAAAACATTCAGGAAATGTTTTTTGACAAATAGATTCCTTACTAGCATATTAATACAGAACTTTGAGTAATAATTCAATTAAACTACAATACAGAAACATATTTCCTGTGCCACTCAGAAGCAGTGCAAAGGCTTGGGGGAATCAAGGGTAAGGGTGGAGCTGAGGGAGAGGGAAGTAATTGCTGGGCAGGATCCTGGAAGTGAACCTGGAGGGTTGTTGGGTGTGGGTGGGAAGTATGGAACAGGGGTTTTTTTGGCAGGAGAAGGGATTGTTAGGGAATTGGGGAGCCTCCCTCATGCTGACCCTGGCTGACCCCTAGCCTCACGCATTCAGTCAGGCACATCTGCTTCTGCCCCATGTGTTCCTGCACTCCCTCTCCCGCATCCCCATTTGTCCCTGCACCCTATCTCTTGTCCCCATGTGCCCTTGCATCCCCAGTCACCCCTCCCCCATCCCCATGTGACCCTGCACTCCCACTCAGCCACCCCTACCCCTTGTCCTCATATGTCCCTGCACCCCCACTCCCATTCAGCCCCTGCACTAGCCTGCCCCTCACTAGCCCTTCTGAATCCCTGTCTGTGACCCCCAGCAGCCCCATGTGCCCTGCTGTCTGTTCCCCCGCACCACCCATATCCTGTGGCTCCTCACCTGGCCCTGTGGGCAGGGCACTGTGAGGAACACAGCCTCTCCCCATCCCTCTCTGGGGCTGGTTGAGCCAGCTGCCCTCTGTTCTGGTGCCATAGCATCCCCGGATGGGCGAAAGGCATAATTGTAGCGCCTCTCTGGCAGAATGTATTTTCTGCTGAGAAAAAAAAAATCTGCGGGGACAAAATTCTGCGTGTGCGCAGTGGCATAGATTTCCCCCAGGAGTAAGAATCAAAGCTCAGCTATTAGGACTTCCTCGCAGTAGTGAGGATTTGGTCTCTAGTCACAGCACCCATTGTTTCTCACCCACGCAGTTACCACGGTCAGAATTTTTCAAATGGCTCAGCACCCATAATAGGGACCATATTTTCAGAAAACCTCAAGTCCCATTCAGGCAACAAAACAACTGGCCAGATTTTCAAAAGAACCAGCATGTTGGGTGCTGAGCTGTTTTTAAAATCTGTCTTTATTTGAGTGCCTAAAAGGAAGCTGAGCTCTTTTGGAAATCTGGCCTATAACTGATATCTGACAGCTGTGGAAGCAATTTTTCATCACATGTGGTCAAGTCAGAAAGCTTCATACTTTTTGACCAGATTCCCCCAGGATTTACCCCTTAGCTCAGGGGTGGGCAAACTTTTTGGCTGAGGGCCACATCCGGGAATAGAAACTATGGCGGGCCATGAATGCTCACAATATGGGGACAGAGGTGCAGG